CGGGCCATGAACATGGCTTTCCAGAATTTCGTGAGGAAGACTCGTTTGGCGCAGAGCATCATCAACTACTGCGTGATTGTGTACATGGATGACATTCTGGTGTCTTCGAGTTCCTACGAGGGACACGTGCAGCACATCGAATGGGCACTGCATGCGTTACGAGATGCAGGCTTCAAAGTGGCGCTTGAGAAGTGTCAGTTTTTCCTCACCACCATTTCCTTCCTAGGGCACGTGGTGACAGACAAGGTACTCCAACCGGAACCGCAGAAAGTGGCAGCTGTCAGGAACGCGTCGGTGCCTACGACTATCAAGCAAGTTCGCGCCTTTCTGGGCCTAGCCTCGTACTACCGACGATTTATCAAGGGCTTCGCGGCGATTGCGGGACCCCTCACAAATCTGCTGCGCAAGGATCAGCCGTTGATCTGGACGCCGGAATGCGATCAAGCGTTTTCCACACTCAAGGCCGCTCTCATTTCGGCTCCGGTCCTTATAAGACCGGATCCCGAAAAACCCTTTGTTCTCATCACTGACTGGCAGCCAGAGGCGATTTCGGCTATCCTTGCCCAGGTGGGACCAAGCGGACTCGAGAGTGTGGTGGAGTATGCGTCCAAATCAGTGCCCGCCTGCAAGCGCAACTACGCCGCTCCAATGGGAGAATGCTATACGGCTCTCTGGGGAATCAGTCACTTTCGTGCTTACCTGTACGGGCGAAGATTCACCCTGGTGACTGATCATGAGCCCCTGTTGGCTCTGAAGCAGTCGAAGGATTACTCGGGCATGATCGGGCGATGGGCAACGGTGCTGCAGAGCATGGACTTTGACATTCGTCATCGGAAGCACGAGAGACACGGGAATGCAGACGGACTGACACGGCTGCACCGGCCTAAGAAAGTTCCGAAGAATGAGGAGGTGATTCCGTGGAACGAACCTAAATAGGAGGTTGGACCCCGGTACGACTTTTGTCAAAGCAGTAAGTGGCACGAGGACTAATTTGTCTGTTCCACTCCCTCCACAAGTCAATCCCATCTCTCCTCCTCTGTCATCATGACTACCCTACTCGCCTCCGCAACCCCTTCATCTCCCACTAATTCTGCCCCTAGACACGCGAAGCGTGCCGAAGCCCTTCCGCTCTAAACGACGGGCTGTAGCACAGTGGGAAGCCCGACAATACTTCCTAGATTGAATTTGGATTTTTCTCTCTTCGCGCCTTGTCCGCGCGCGCATTCTGCGACGCGCGAAAACAATCGACTTGCTTCATCGGACCAACACGGGGGATTTCAGTTCCATCTGTGTCCCCACACTCAATTTCCAAAAATCCTTGGCACACCCCATCTTGCTGTTTTTCTGGGCCTCTTTCTGCACAATTAACACTCCGAACGAAAGACAGCGCAGGGCGTGAGGTTAGCACGTCACATGGTCGTCCGAGGGGTGTGACGCGAAATAATGGAAATTACAGGGGCGCCAGACAAATTTTCCCTTCCCTTTTTTATTCTTTATTATTATTCTTATTATTAGTATTATTATTGTCCGGGAGCATCACCCGACTTTTTTTTTTCTTTCTTTTTCGTATGTGGGAAAACCTACTTAACGAGGTGATAAGAGCAGCCCCGATAAGTAGGCCCCCGCATCGAAGGCTCCATCTATTGGTGGGGAGCTGCACCTGCTGGAAATCGGGTCCAGCGTCCCTTTACAGTGATGTGTGGATATGGCATACTGTGCATTCAATACTATCTGTATATGTCCATCAATCAATATATGTCCCATGGAGGGAAAACCCTATCCACGATGTCTACCGGATTGCCGTAAAGAGCAGAGGGATTGATTACTTCCCCACTCAAGGGAAGGATTGACCTCCTGCCCGTACAGCCCAATCCTATCGATCAAACCAAGACACGAAACCCTAAACAAGACCCTAAATAACCTATCTCCCCCACCCCTGCTTGATTGGAAGTTGAGGGCCGGACAATGCCAATCTATACAGGGAGGTAAGACATGTCAGGCGTTGTGTGCTATATGTCGTACTAAAACTAGTGAACTACTAGTGCAGACCATGGTAACCGTCCGGCCGTCCGGTCCTGATGTCCGGATGGAGGCCCCTGGGGCAAAAAAAAAAAAAAAAAAAGGGGCCGGCCCAGGATGTTTATCGGGTCCTGGCCAAAATAACGGGGTGATTTTTCAGTGTTATTTCACCCCACCGGACAGGGCCTAGAGGTCCGGACACAAGACACTGCAGGTTTTTGGGGTGGCGGGTTTCACACAGGCCCGAGCGATTTCAGAGCGGCCGTTTCGACATGGCGCCCACCGCTGCTGGCCATTGGGGAGAGAGAGAGAGAGAGAGAGAGAGAGAGAGAGAGAGAGAGAGAGAGAGAGAGCACTGACAGTGCTGCCAGTCTGAAGACTGACGTTTGTGTGTGTTCCAAAAAGAGAGTCTCTGTGTACTAAATCCAAAGTTCAAACTTCAAAGTCAATCATACTTTTTTTGAAGTTTTTTCAATTTTGTTTTTCTCTGTTTCTTAAACTTTCTTTAGTATTGTGCCTGCTTTGCACTGACAGTGTTTGCAACTCTGCATGTCTGCTAGTTGAATGTGGTTGTTGATTTGCTGCAAGACAGGTGCTCTGCTGCCTGAACTACAAAGTGCAAAGCAGGTAAGTGCCTGCCAACCCCCCCCCCCTCCCCCCCCCCCCCCACCCCTTTTTTCTTTTTCCGGACATTTTTGCACCCCCGGCACCGGTCCGGACTGTCCAGGTCCGGTGATGTCCGGGTGTCCAGTAATGTCCGGATCACCAGACAGTCCGGACTGGTCCAGACACTGGTCCGGAAGACAGTCCGGAAGTGTCCGGTGTCCGGGTCCGGGGTTACCATGGTGCAGATGTATCTGAGATTGACCTTCCCACGATCCTCATTGACACAAGAATTATGTAACTCATTGTGTGCTGTGTGTTGTGCTAAAAATGGTAGTGCAGACGTGCCTGATCATTATCTGTCCTAATTACCAATCAAAAAGTATGATAATGGTAGCTAAATTGTGTCTGACCTTTATATGCATTTTATCAAATGGTAATTCAGTTGTGTCTGACCATTATGTGCATATTGTCTGAGTTCCAACATGGTCAAAAAAAAAAAAAAAAAAAAAAAAAAAAAAAAAAAAAGAGGTCATGATTGCCTCCCCAACCAATCAGAAACTGTTTCCAGCCAGCACAAAACCCCCTGTGCGTCTATCCACTTTTGATCGGACGTTCCCTAATACGCCCCCTACCTACCCCGGCAGCTTCTACGAAGGAGGGAAATCACGGTTAATCGACAACTCTTATCCCACCCCTATCCGATCAAGCTGAGGACTCTCTGTCACCCGCAAGCCCAAACCTCGGTCCCCCTGCAAACCCATATTTACCTCAGCATGCTGACCTGTGCTCCCCAAACAATGTGTTGTGATCCGCTGTAATGTCGTCTTAGTCGTAGTCGTAGCAATTAATGTTGTCGTTTTGACTGTCATTGTTATTGCTGCTGTTGTTGTAGATTTTGTCATCGCCATAGGCCCATGGCCACCATCAGCGATATAGTTGTTGTTGCTGTTGGTGAAGATTCCCTCACCGTTAATGTCGTTGCTGTTGGTGTACGTAACTGTTGCCATAGCTATTTCCTCTACTGTTAGCAGCATTGTTGTTGCGATGGAGTTCTCGTCGTTTGTTGTCACATCTGTCTTCATTGCTGCTGTTTGCGATGTTGTTGTGATTATCTTCGCTCCATTGCAGTCATTGCTATCCCCCTCCGCCAAATCGCCTTCGTTCTCGCCCATCGACGACAGACACTTATCAACTTGCCCCATCTCCTTCATCTGATTCTTATTGCCCCTCAACTGCAGATTCGGGGAGGGACAGTCATTATCCATCCGCTGAAAATGGTCCTCCAGCTCATATCGCATGTTACGAGCTTCAACAAAGAGGGCTTTGCAGGTGCTCATCAACTCATCCGCCCGCTTCCACTCAATGAAGGGTTCAACCTGGGGATCCGGCCCCTCCTCCAGGTCCCAGATGATTTCCAGCGTCTCCTGGGTAATGTCGTCAAGCCAAGTGGCCAAAGAGGTCGCCCCCCAATCAACCTCTGGCCCCTGCTGCCTTCGCAAAGACATCGCCCCCACAAGCCCCTGCAGCCGTCGAGCGCCCTTTTCGAGGCTGTATAATCATTCGTCTGCTCCATATTGTAATTCTCCTGTTGTAGCCATTGCTGTCCTGAAGAGACTTCGCCACAATTCTTCACCAAAAGCTATCAATCTCACGGCCGGCGCAACCCCTGCGCACACGTTACGGAACCTATGTGTCACCAAACAACAGGTGCCACGTGGCAACCAAGGCACCACGTGCCCTATCGGGCGCCTGCACAGGCCTAGCTGCCGAGGAGCTCCCCTCCCCGGGCGCTAGTCTAGACAGGGCAACCGGACCCTGCCGGTCCGCCGGCATCAGGGCGCTAGCGGTAACGCAGTCTCCGAGAGGCCTGGGCCCCGTGTTGGGAGCATCACTCGGCTTATAGCTTAGTATATTACAAAAGCGAGGAAATGGGCCTGGCATCCCTCACAAAAAGGCAGGTGGTCCCATTAATGGGCAAGGCATCTCCGGCCACGCCCCATACCAAGACCACTAATCACCACCAAAAACAATGACGTAATCCCTGCAAAACCCTCATAAAATGCTGTGGAAAACCAGCGCCAAAATCACCTGTGGCATAACTGGCAGAAGAGACAAGTGAGAAAATCTAGAGCGTCCTCCGGCCCGAGGATGAAATCCTTAAAGTTTTTCGTGTTTTTGGAGTCGTCGTTCCTCTCATCCTTGGGAATGCATCCCCGAGGACAAATCCCAAATGGGCCCCCGCAGCCAACTTTATGTAAATACACGCGTCCACGGGCTGGATGCATTTCGCCATTGTGGAATGTCTGTGCACGGTGAGGCTTGGTACAGCGGTGGCAGCGGCGAGGTCCCCCGGGCCCTGGAAAAAAAAAGGCGGCAACGTCCTCGTTCGAAATTAGATTTTCGAACCTGGCGTTGGAGGTCCTGTGTGGAGGGGCGTGGGCAGGGTCGTTTCACCGCGTGACGCAGCCATGCGAATGGAAACGACAGCGGTGTAAACGAGGAGGATGCTGTGAGCAGAGAACAACTGTCCAGCGCTCGCGATGAACTGAGTACGCTGTGGACGACACAGGTGATGACGATCCATGCTGCCATCGCTGATCGTTTTCCTGCGCTTCTGGAGCTCTCCGGGGCATGTGTACGCTAGTGGCGTGTGCTTGTGTGCGTTGGAGGGGTGAACTGGGGTGACAGTGATTGAAGCGAGAGGCGGTGTCTGTCATACACGGGTCCGACAATGGAGGAGGGGGGGTCCGGTGTGCAGAGGGGCCTGTCCGAGGAGGAGACAAGCGCTGTGGTCGCCGATGTGTCTGCAGTCGCCATTCTATGGTGCACGGAGAGAGTGTTGGACATCATGAAGATGAAGCTGAGTCGGAGGCAAAGGTTGCTCATGCAGCAGCTCGTCGGAGCACCGGATTGCGTGTCTTTGTGCTACACCATGGGGTCTGGTGTCTTCCTGCGGGCAGGAGAGACCATACATGACCGGTCCTGTCAGGGTGGGCGACAATGGGTAGTGCTTTAATTGGGGGGGGGGGGGGGAGGGGGTTGGGGGAAGGGGGGGAACTGTGGGGGTGTTCCAATGCATCAAAGGGGGCGGGCGGGGAGGGTGCTGGTATGGTGTACGATCCTTCGCTGTGTGGGGTTTTTGCAGGGGGTGGTCTGTAATATACCATGGCCCTGATTTCTTTTTTTCTTTTTCTTTTTGGTTGGAAGGTTGCTTTGGTGAGGGGTGCGGAGGGTCGGAAGCGGGTTCCGTGATGCTTTGGGGACTGTCCTGGGCTTGACGACCAAACGGTCCTGCATGGGCCTGGCAATGCCAGACCAGCCGATGAATGGCTTCCATGGAAGCAAGCGATGAAAGGTTGTGGAGCAGAGGTCCACATCGACGGGAGGGTTCTAGCGCCATGGTGGGTTATCTGCCTTCGGGAAGATGGCTCTTGCCCGACGATGAATAAATTCACGTCGTGCACAACCAAACATCCCGTCGCCTCATTGTGGGCTGTGTTGCTCGCCTTCCACATACTCCATGCAAGCCGTCGTCGGCAGCGGATCTCCCTCACCAGGATGTTGCATGTCGCCCGTCCGCCAGATGTTGTCTTCCTAGAGGGCGGCTTCTGACGACAGTGTGCGGGCCTTTCTGCTGCTGCGGTTCTCCACGCACACGTGACTCCTGCTCTCAGGCGGCGCCTTGGTTGCCATTCTTCACACTGCTCACACACCGTGCGACCATCATTCAATCTACGTGCGAGTGTACAACGAAAGGCATCAGTGCATGGCACCACGTGGAGCGTCGACGAAGAACACGGGAGATAGAGGATCGGAAGAGGGAGGCTCCGACCACACACTTAGAGGGCACGTCCTGAGGCCTCGTTTTGACGATCTGCAAGACAGGATCACAGACGTTGGTGACGAAGACGTCACCGTTGTGTACCGCGAAGGTGCGGGCGGGCCCACTACTTCGGGATTCGGTCGGGATGGCACGACAGTCCACTCCATGGGCGGATACCCGTTGCCACCGAGGATGTATCCATGCGTCTTCACCCCAAACTGCAGCATGACCGGAGGACTGTGGAACATGTCCCCTTCCTGCACGTGTGTCCACAAACTAGAAAGTTGAAGCACTGGGATGTTGTGGCAGCTCCCTGGATACCCAACCTTCATGTCCAACACCCTCAAATCAAGGTCGACCACCACCTGCACGACGACGGAGATTCGATGCTTGTAATCGAAGTAGTTCTTGCCTGACGCGTTCGGCGGTTTGTCCACCTAGATGTGTGTGCAATCCACACATCCATAACAGTTGGGGAAAACCTTGTTTGTGAAAGGGCGGAGGACAACCTGCCTCCTCAGCCCTTGTGGCCAGGAGATCTTCTCCGAATATACCCTCCACAGTGCAGTAGTGACGTCTTCCAGGTCCACCAACCTCGAAGCTCGCCCAATCCCGAAGGCAGACGTGCTGCTTTCATACGTTTCTCCGCTCGCCCAACAATACAGCGTGCACACCGCGATATGGTCCGAAGCCAAAGGCACCCTGTAAAATGTCACCCTCTACTCTAGATGAGGGGCCAGGGACTCCACGATCTCCCGGAACACTCTTCGCGGCATGCGCAGCTTGTCCTTGTAGTACTCCGTGGCGTCGTCATGCAGTCGTCGATCCTCCCACGTCTCCATGGTCCTCTGTTTCATCAACCATCTTGGCCAACGTCCTGTAGAACATATCCTTGTGGATGCAATCTCCAAAGAGTGTCGAGATACAGAGATCGATCATGTCCCACAGCGCGTCCACCTCCAACGACCTGTGGTCAAGGAACAATGTCACATGCTGCGCCTGCAACAGGCACTGCACAGGCCATTTTCAGGCCCGTGTCATTTTCAGCCTGGAAGCCTGAAAACGAAGGCTTACAGGCCCTGTGTCAGTTTCAGCCTGAAAGCCTGAAAACCAGGGCCTACAGGCCCCGTGTCTGTTTCAGCCTGACAGCCTGAAACCAGAGCCTACAGGCCCCGTGTCTGTTTCAGCCTGACAGCCTGAAAACCAGGGCCTACAGGCCCCGTGTCTGTTTCAGCCTGACAGCCTGAAAACCAGGGCCTACAGGCCCCGTGTCGTTTCAGCCTGACAGCCTGAAAACAAGGGCCTATAGGCCCTCAGGCTTTAGCCAGAAGCTACCTGGAAACTTCCCAGAAGCTTCCTCAGGCTTTAGCCAGAAGCTACCTGGAAACTTCCGGAAGTTTCCTCAGGGTCTAGCACGTTTGGGCATTGGCAAGGGCAGCCTCCTGGACGGGCCAGCACTATATAAGACTGGCCCGCCCTACAGGCAGGCAGGTAGTTCATAGGGACTGGCCAGGCACTTCACGTGCAGTCCAGGCAGGCAGGAGGCAGTAGTCTTCAGGATTCGGCAGCAGCACTCTGGAGGGAGCGCTGCAGGAGTAGTAGTAGCGTTAGCCTTAGTCTTCAGCGCTGGGCGCAGTTGGTAGCTGTAGTCTCCAGCGCTGGGCGCCATAGCTAGGATAGCACTAGAGAGAGAGAGAGATTGGGCGGAGGTCAGAGGTACTTACCTGTAGTGCCGTTGCTCCAGCTTCGTCTTCAAAGTACCTGCAGCACAGCGCCAGCTTCACAGGTTAGTACCTGGCTCGTAACAGAGAGAGACAGTTCTTCTTCTTCCTCTTCTCAGTCCACCATCTCCCTCTCACCCTCTCATCATCTGACTTCACTGCATCAGCAGACTACGAGAGAAGAGAGAGAGAGCTTGGTGACATTGGATCCAGACTCGACTTTTGGACTTCAGACATTGCAACGAGGGATTATTTGGGACTCGTGACAAAGACTTGGTGTTGACGGCATTCCCATCTTTCCTTCTCCTCTTCGTCTGATCCCCTCCTCTTCGTCTGTGTATATCTGGACCTGGCGCTTCCTTCCTGTGTACAGCGCCAGGCTCCTTCACACCATGTGATGAGCATGATGTATGTTTGGTCTACGTTGAAACATTGATTGGGCTAGTCATCAGTATTCTAGCATTCTGCTTCGCTATCTTGTACAATGTGATAAAGGTCAGTCTTGGTCAGGTCAGGACTTGTATCTAAGTCTTCCACTGCGCTATAAAGCACCTTTTATATGTATCGGAACGCACATTGCTTGTTGAGATTCCATTTGCACTGCATTGTCCATTTAGTCCTTTTTATCACATTGCGGATCCTCGGTTATTATGTACATCGCCCATCTGGGCATGTAACAGTTGGTATCGGAGCGCCGCATGTGAATCAGGACAACCTGATCTGACACGTGTGCGGGGACTAGGTAGCTGATTAGTCTTCATTGATTGATTAGAGCACACTAGTTAGCCCCCAAAATCACGATTTTGACCTCACTGCCAAAAATCGAAATTTTTTTCTTTTCTTGGATTTCGTTTTCTCGCTATTTCTGCTGTGGAAAATCGCAATAGAGCAACATCTGAAAATTTTGTTTTCGTTTTTCTTCTGAAATCCGAAATTTCGTTGTTGGAAATCCGAAATATCTTTTTCTCGAAAATTTTGATTTCCTGTTGCATTTCCCATTATTTGGAAAGTCGGAATATTTTTCCAAAATTAGTTTTTCTGAAAACGGTACGGGAAATCCCTCTTGCAGTACCAT